GGTGCCGGAGACCAAACCCAGTGCCTCATGCATGTTAGGCAAGTGCTCTACCACTGAGCTACAGCCCCAGCCCCAAGAACCAAGATTTTGAGGACCCTTCTAACCTCTAAAAGCACTTTATACCTTCTGCAATGAATTTTAAACATGTTTCTGATTAGTTTCTGTCTTGGTACTTATTGCCCTCGCCATGCCTTAAAGTTTTTCCTTGCTGGAGAGCTATAGCTCTAATTGTGGTTAAAAGATTCTTGATTTTTTTTTTTTTTTTTTTTTTTTGCTGGGTGCAGTGGTGCATGTAATCCCAGCAGCTCAGAGAGGCTGAGGCAGGAGGATGTGGAGTTCAAAGCCAGCCTCAGCAAAAGTGAGGCGCTAAGCAACTCAGTGAGACCCTGACTCTAAATAAAATACAAAATGGGGATGGGGATGTGGCCCAGAGGCCAAGTGCCCCTGAATTCAATCCCCAGAGTTTTTTGTTTTTTGTTTTCAATGCTGGAAATTTCCATTTATCTCTCCAATAAGGCAGAGACACTCAGTTTACTGGTATTGTTATTGAGGAACTCTGTAAAGTTTGTCTTTTACCCCCAAACTTTACTCCCTTATCATTGACAGTCTTCAGGAAAAATAGAACTGATAGAATTGTAAAACTAAAATCAACAAAACAACCTTAAACTCCTGTGGCCTAAAATATTACCATTAGTTTTAATGAGTACAAGATCGACTTTCTCTGGGGCCCACAGATTATCTCCTTATGAATTAATAACAGGCTGGTCTATGTATTTGAAAATTTCACCCCCAATCTTAGATCCTATGTGATTACAGTGAAATTGCAAGGAAAATAAAGAAATTGCAAAGGATGATACCTCTATCATTAATAGATCCAAACTGCACTGCCAAACTGCCTGCCTATGATCTACAACAGGAGATTCAGTGTTCACGAAATACCTAACAAGAACTGCCCTTGAGTCTCATTGAAAAGGATTTTATCAGGCACTATTAACAACTGACAGGGGCTGGGGATGTGGCTCAAGCGGTAGCRCGCTCGCCTGGCATGCGTGCGGCCCGGGTTCGATCCTCAGCACCACATACCAACAAAGATGTTGTGTCCGCCGAGAACTAAAAAATAAATATTAAAAAAAATTCTCTCTCTCTCTCTCTCTCTCCTCTCTTTAAAAAAAAAAAAAAAAACTGACAGCATCGAGACTCCAAAGTACTGATTCTTAGGTTGATGGTTCTCAGCTAAAAATATATATATACAGACTACTCATTCCATTGGAAATCTTTGACTGAGATTCTTAGAATCTTCCTAAGATGCTTACTTCAGAGGTGACAGCTTCTGCCCCAGATTTTCAATCAAGATTAACATTCCTATTCAACTCCCTTTTATGATTTCATCTTTTCATCCCACTTTGAAGCCCTCTAAAACCTTATCTCACATATCTTCATCCTTCTCTTTCTCACCCCTTGTATTCTGCATCTACCACTTAAGAGAACACAAAGCTTTCTTGTATGTTTCTCCCAGAGTATTGCTGCCATTCTAACAATTGCTAGACTTGTCACTTTCTCCTGAGACTGCTGACAAAAATGTAATAGCCATTCTTTTAAAAATTTCAAAAAGAAACTTTCCTCTCACAGGTTCGGTGTGGTAAATTATGTTTCTCCCATATCATTAATTCCAACCTGCACTCTTGCAGAACTCAACATTCCTGCTGAGATCATTACAGTCCTATTGGCTAGACCAATCGATAAGGACTCATATTGAGGCTATTCTGGTTGCTACAGTTGTTTGCTTTCTCAAGGACATCTCACTTGTTTTTCAGGAACTGCTTAGTTCCACTTAGGGACTTTGTCCATCTCAAGGGATATAAAAATGATCCATTCCCTCTGATAACAACTGATCCTCCCAGTGCAATCTATGTTCCACTAAGATACAACATTGTGTGTGACATCAGGCTTACACCTTCTCCTGCACACTAATTTACCCCATGGTTCCAACTCCTTGTTAGAGATGTCCAGTCATTCAAAACTACCATTTCACTGATAATCAAATTTACATAAAAAGGGTATCTAGAAGTCCGCTCCCTGCAAAATGAAGCAAGCAGATATTTGGGAGAACTTCTGGAGTAGGGGATTAGGTGATTGCTTTTCATACAAACTACAGGCTACATCTCTCACAGTGGGAACAGAAAAACAAGACACAACAGCAAAAATTGGCAGCCTTGAGTGGAGAAATAGACAATAACAGTGGGAGGCATTAATTATCCACTCTAATGATGTGTGGGACAGGCAGAAAGAAAATAAGCAAGGAGAGGACTTGAATAACAATAAGCCACCTAAAAATCAAAAGACATGAAGAATACTCTTCTCAACCATCGCAGAACACACTTTATGATGAAGGGAACCACTTCCCAGTGTCCCTAATCTCAATGCTCCCTATTGGCTTTCAGAGACTCTCAGCAACCCTTGGGATGATCCTCCTGGCTCCTGGGACCCACCTTTGAGAGCCTGCTGGTCTAGTACTTTCCTTTCTTATATACAGCTGTCCTCCTTCTGTGAAGGGGCCTTTGTGCTCTGAGACCCATCTTACCTGCTCCTCAGAGTCCTTGCTCTGGCCAATGTTAAGTTTAATTTGTGTTAAGCTACCTCCAAGCATAATGAATTGCAACCTAACTTGTTTGTAGACAAACTGCAACCTACCTGAGAGTGTATTCTTTTGATAGGTAGTTGCATTTCAGCCAATCGCAACAGCTGAGATTCAGTCAACTACAGGTGGCCAACTYATAAGACCATGTCCTTAAAAAGCAAATGCTGAACTGGGACCAATTAAATTGTTTTGTATTTCACTTCCATTTTCTCATGATAAATACTGCCTTGCCCACATTTCTGGGGTGGGGGTGCTCTCAGCCTCTCCTGATTCCAAGTGTTGCCTGTTCATAATCCATTCTGTGCTAAAACTCTACTAAGTTTAATATATCTAACATTTTTCTTTTAACACCAGCATGGTCTGCACTCAGCCTCTTTCCTCAGTTTATAAAAACACCAAGACATGTCTCATATTTTCAAAACATCCTCCCTGTAGTTCTTGTGTGACTTCCAGTCTCAAATAGCCAAACTACAGACAACTTGAGGGACTATCTTATCCATGGGGCCTATCTGTTGTAGGAACTCAACAACTCTGTGTGTGTGTGTGTGTGTGTGTGTGTGTGTGTGTGTGTATATATATATATATATATATATATATATATATATATATATATATATATATGGTGGTGGGTACTGAAGGGTGCAAGGAGTGCTCTACCTCTGAGTTACATCCACAGCCTTTTAAAAATTTCATTTTGAGTCAGTGTCTCACTAAATTGCTGAGGGTGATCTTGAACTTGTGATCTTTCTGCCTCAGCCTCACAAGCAACTGAGATTATAGGCATGTGGTTGACGTTTTTTTAAAAAAAGGAGTGACCAAATAAATGAATACTAATGTAGCAATGTCTGTTGTTTCATAGTTATTCTAATTAATGTTGGCTTTAAAAATCATTTTCTCAGTTGAATCTGGAAATTTTGTCTTTCCAAGGTTAAGATGTATAAAACTTTTGAAATGATACACTTAATATATGATAAGAACCATAAGTATAGTCACACTGTCACTTAACCACATTTGGTCAAAGACCCCATGTGTGAAGGTGATTCCATAGGACTATAATGGAATTTAAAAATTTTTATTGATTGGTGATGCTGTAGCTCTCTTAACATCATAGCACAATGCATTACTCATTAATTAACAGTCCCTCCAGTTGACTGTAGTTTGGCTATTGAAGACTGGAAGTCAGGTAAGAACGACAGGAGCAGGTGTTTTGAAAATACAGGACATTCTTTAGTGTTTTTATAAACCAAGAAGGAGAGAAGTTGAGTGTAGGTCATGCTGATGTTAAAATAAAAATGTTAAGCAAATTAGATTTAGCAGGTATAACCAACCTATTGTGCTGTCAACTATATGAAAGACTAGCACATACACACCCACGGTGATAGCCTTGGCCTGTAGTCCCAGCTATTCCCCAGGTTAAGGCAGGTGAAATGCTTGAGTCTATCAGTTTAAGACCAGCTTGGTCAACATAGTGAGAATGTCTCAAAACAACCCCCCCCACCTCAAAAAAAAAGAGCACATACAATGTACACAGTACATAATACTTAATAATTACATTAGATGTTACTGGTTTATGTATTTACTATGGTCAGTGTAGATTATATTCTTCCAGCTTACATAAAAAATGTTAACTGTAAAACACGATGTTATACTAGCAGCAGCCTCATTCATCTCATGTTCTCTCCTCTTGATTGAATCAAAAAGGCCACCTCAAGTAACTGACTTACACTATCTAGGTCTGCACAAGTAYGCTATGATGTTCACACAATAAAGACATTATCCAACTCCGTTAGGTGACACGTGGTTATTGGTAGGACTAAGCCCTAGTACCATCGTCTCACAGTGTGCAAACCTAGAAAAAAATTCACTTTGACGCTAGAGGCCGCTACTGAGGCAGGACCCAGACGGGTCTGCGAGGTCGGTCTTGTCTGAATGGTGGAATGCATTTGCAATAGGGATTCGTGTCTCAACAACCCAAATCAGCAAAACGTTGCAGACCAAGGCTTGTATGACTTAATGGGGGCGAAGTGCCAAATTAAAACTTTCGGGTGGGAGTAGCACTTATGGCCTGATCCTCCCACAACCTGCGGGAAACCGACAATCCAGGGGCTGAGCTTTGCGAGGAGGGCAAGGAAGGGAGAAGGGGTACTCAGCCGTTCACCAACTACCGCGCTCCCAGCGCCATGCCTACTCCCCACGAACCCAGCAGAGGGAAGGGCTGGGAGCCGCTGGGCGGCGCTGGAGGCGGGATTGGATCTCATTCTTTCCGGATTTGAGCAAAGCGGCCCCTCGGGTGTGAGGGGCGGGGGGAGGACCGTGCGTCAGAGGGGCGGGGCGGGGCGGGGCCGGCCACCAGAGCCCGCCCCCTCCCTTGCCCGGCGCCAGCATAAAGTCACGGCTCAGCCCCACCGAGGCCAGTCGGCTCCCCCACAGCACCCGCACCATGCCCATGATACTGGGTTACTGGGACATCCGCGGGGTGAGTTGGCGGGTGAGAGCGGGCGGGGCTGCGTGGGCCGGAGACGTGTGGAGCAGAGGGGGGCGGTTCTAGGAGACGAATCCTCTTCAGGATTTGCTGGAGTCCCCTGCCTGTCTGTTTGAGGCGCTCTGCTCACACAGTGAGCTCCAGAGTGCGCAAGCTCGCGGGAGGCGGGTGGTGTTAGGTGTGAGTGGGAGGTTCTAGTGGAGGAGGTGAAATCAGGGTCCCTCCATCTCTGACCTCTGCCACGGCCATCTCTCCCAGCTGGCTCATGCCATCCGCCTGCTCCTGGAATACACAGACTCAAGCTATGAGGAGAAGAGATACACGATGGGGGATGGTAATGTCACTCGCCTGTTTGGCCTCCTCTCCAGCTCCTGCTGATCGGTGCTCTGGGGCCCATGGCCTGGCCACCTGTTGCTCAGCTCTGCAGAACTCCTCCTGGTGCACTTAGAGCCTGCGCCTTCCCAGAAACCTCCTTGAGGGTGCAGTTTGGTCTTACAAGGCAGGACTCAGGGAGTGGAGTGCTGGCTCCTCCTCTGTGATCTTGTTGGGTTCCCCTTAGCCCTTGTCTGAACATTTTGTAAGCCTCAATCATGTTGGATTCATGGCCCTTAAAAGCATTCATTACTCCCTGTAATCTTGGAATGTGAAGTGGAGTGTCTGAGATTCCAGATCTACCCTCTTAGGGGTCTTGCATCTGCCTCCTTGGGAGGGTGCCGGGAAGGAGTGTTAGACTCAGGGGAGGTTTCCTTTCACATCATCTTCTCCTCCACAGCTCCGGACTATGACAGAAGCCAGTGGCTGGATGAGAAATTCAAGCTGGGCCTGGACTTTCCCAATGTAGGTTCGGAGGAAGGGGGTAGTTTGGGAAACTGAAGGCATCCCTTCCTCATCTKTATGCCCCAGTTTAGAGTTTCGAGATCAGTGTTTCTGTTCAACTACTCTCAATTCTGTGTGTCTACACTGTCTTTGTGTGATGGTCTGTGTCCCAGATCATTCATTTATTCTACAGTGTGTTTGTGTAGTGATTACCATGGGCCAGGCGTACCAASTACCAGATCTCCATGTCCCTAACTTAGGGAAGGGGAAGTGGGTCCTTGCATCTCACCTGACCATCCCTGGTTGTCCATCCAGCTGCCCTACTTGATTGACGGGCCTCACAGGATCACCCAGAGCAACGCCATCCTGCGCTACCTTGCCCGCAAGCACAACCTGTGTGAGTGGGGCTGGCTGCAGGGTGTGGGGGAGGGTGGCCATGTCCCTGGCTTGGCTGGGGTGGGAGGCTGAAGGTGTGTCTCTATTGTGTGTGAGGCAGGTGGGGAGACAGAAGAGGAGATGATTCGTGTGGACATTTTGGAGAACCAGGCTATGGACATCTCCAATGAGCTGGCTAGAGTCTGCTATAGCCCAGACTTTGTGAGTCATCTGCTGACCACCCCTACCCCCACTGGGCTGGACCCGGCAGGATTTGGATCAGGATTCTGGACTCCTAGAATCCCCTCTAGATGAGTCTTGTTTCACTTTTGAACTCCTTAGTGCTGCTTATCCTCCGGTACATTCTGCGTGCTTCTGTCAGTGTCCCTCGTAACATCAGATTGTGTCAAATGAACACTTTTATTCAATCCCCACCATTATAGGGTACAGTCCAGACTCCTCAAGGTGGACATTTACTTCCTAGAGCATAAAGTCAAATTTTGGAATTCTTTCCACTTTTCATCTCTGCCCTAGGCCCTCTCCCAGCTGGTTTACATCATGTGTCTTCTCATGAAATGTACATACTTAAGTCTATGAGAAAAGGAAGTACAAAAAGATGGATTGTTACAGAACTCTTGAGTTTTGACCTTCAACCAAGTGTTTTCTGGCGCTGTCTCCTTCATACCCATATAAATAAATTTTTCTATTAGGCAACTAAGCGTCAGCCAGAGGTTCCTCTCCTTCCTTCTTATCAGCCTCAAATACTCCTTACTTTATGGGAAAAACTCAAATGTGTATTTCATTCTTCTGGAACCTTCTAGGTAGAACTTTCATCATCTCTCCTGGGCTCTTTCAGTTCATGCTTCTTTGATACTAACATCTGAGTCCAGAGCCTGGCAGGTGCTCAGGCCCTCATGGGTCAAAAACCACAGGAGGTGGTTGGTAATAATGTCTCGTTGGAGATAATGTTCTATTCTTCTTTGATGTTCTATCATTTCTAAAGGATGGGGTCAGGTATCCTATAGGAATCAATAAATGCCAATTCATTAAATTTAAAAAAAACTGAATAGTGATTTAATCCCCATTTTAGGTAAGATGGTTTCTCACTCGGGGGCTAGCTGGGGCCGTGAATAGCAATGTTGAGCCTCATCACTCTACCAGGGAACTTATTTCTTAGGATAATGACAACTATTTTCTGCCTCAGGAGAAACTGAAGCCAGAGTACTTGGAGCGCATCCCAGAGGTACTGAAGCTCTTTTCGCAGTTCCTGGGGAAGAAGCCATGGTTTGTTGGTGATAAGGTAAAAACAAAAGAATTGGGACTTTTCACCCTTTCCAGGGTACAGAATTTCATGCCCACTCATCCTTGGCTTTCCGCAGATCACCTTTGTGGATTTCCTTGCTTACGATATACTTGACCTGCACCGAATATTTCACCCTAAGTGCCTGGATGAATTTTCGAACCTGAAGGACTTCGTATCCCGCTTTGAGGTGATTCCTCCCAGCCTCTTTCCTCTTGGCTATCAACTTTCCCTTCTCTCCTCCCACTGTGTTTTCTTAGTCATGAAGCTAATTGAAGAAGAGAGAGCATTTATTGAGCACTGGCTTTGTGCCAGGACCCGTGTTTATCACCTTGCATCTACTGTTCAAATATATCGTTACAACATTCCTGCAGGGTACATAAAATTATCAGTCCCTCTGGACAGATAAGGAAACAGAGGGTAGAGGGTTAGCCATTTGCCCAGGGTCCCAGTGCCAGTAGAGGCTGTGCTGGGCTCCATGTCAGCTTGTGGCTCCTAAGGACACCAGTCAGTGGATATATTTTGTGCTAGAGACAGAATTTTCTGCACCAGTTGGACCCCCATCTGAGGACACACTGGACGCCAGAGCTGAAGTTGGTGCTGAAATTGGGTACATATACAGGTGTCTGTATTAGAGGACTTTATCCTGAAGTGTTCTATGGTGTGGGACTTTCCTTTCCTCTCCCTTGACCTCTTTCTTCTTTTCAGTGTTCTAAGTGTTCCATCTGCGAAATGGGGCCAGACCCTTATTTTTCACTCATACACTTATTTTCCGTGAGGGTTTCCTCCATGTGAGGTCTGCTGTCAGGTCCCGTAGGGCATGCAAAGATTCCCCATGCCCAGACTGAGTGGAGCAGGGAATGGGAGGTATCAGACTATGAGGTTTCCGTGGTACCACTTGTGTTTTAGGAAGCACAGCCTGTACCTCACCTTAGAGCCAATCATGGGTCACCGCAGGTTCCCTTGTTTTTCACCAAAATAACCTCTTTAGCAGATTCAGTATTTTAGCCTTTCCCCCTCCTTGTCTAGAAATGCGCTGTCTCAGCTAGTTGTCACCAGCTCTGGTTTTGGTCCAGGCTGAGTGGCTTTGGGGATTGTGTAAGGGCTGGATTAAGCCTGGGAGTGAGGAGTGTAGGAAGCTGAGGGCTGTGGCCTGAGCCCAGTGTGGGCTTGATCCTTTGGGCACAGCAGCCCTGATTTGCACTGAACCCCTTAGAAAGCGTCTGTGCAGTCCCTGTCCTCTAAAGAAGGCCCACAAGCAGGTGTTCATTCTATCTTTAGTGGCGCCACTTCAAATTCTCCTTTGATTGACGCTCATTTCTTTGGATAGGTGAGATTAGTGTGTACATGCACTCTCAATATAGTTTGTCTAGTCATTCTCATGCTCTGGGAGGCCACCATGCCTTGTGACCTTTCCTGATCGGTTGAGGCTCTGCCGGTCACTTCCTGTGATCTGGCCACATCAAAGTGGCCRTAGATGGTGGCCCGATCTTGAGAGTTGTAAAAATGTCGCTAAATGTATCTTCATGCTTAGGTGTGCCTTCCTGCAGCCCCATGGGTCGAGCTACGCTCACCTGTTCCTTTGTGATATTACCCCTTTGCCCTGTTTAGGACAGAATGTTCCACGGAAACGCCCTTTGTGTGTCCCCTTCTCTTGCTCTGCCTTTGGGTGTGGCCTTCCTAGATGTCAATCAACCTGCTGCCAGTGGACATCATGAAGCTAGACTCAGCCCCTTGAAATCTGACCCCTTGCCTCATTTGAATAGCTTCTCCTCAATAAAAGGGGTCAGCATGTGTGGTGCTCTCTCTCTCTTTCTGTGGACCCTTAAAGTCAAAGGATCCATCACAAGACCCCCCCAAAGAAAAAGGTATCTCTGTCTCTTGGGTGGTTATTTCGTGCAGCCCAGTTCCCCTGGAGTGACACTGAGTGTTTTTGTCGCCAGGAATGCAACATCATGCCATTAGATCCGTGCATTTAACTAACTTTAAAACTTGTTTTCTAGCATGATGATCATCTTTAAACTACTTGCCCCGGTGTTTGGTTATTTTATCTGGGTAGGTCACCAAGCAGATACTACAAGGTAATGGGGAAAATTTTGTAATGATTATTATTAATAGACTATTTGATGATCTCTAGATAGAATATTTTAGTTTTTGGTGGCACTGTAAGTCATATGGACCTCTCTCTACATTAWGTAGGCATGTGGGGGCCCACACTGCCATCTCATGATACTTTCATAGCTTTGTAATGCTTTGTAGTTTTCCACTTTACTCTTTGTAAATTATTCGTTGTGCATGTGTCCACAGAGGAATCACTGTCCATGAATCTCCCTGCATAAATTTCTCTGTTTACTCATTCTGTGTTGATGAGTCAATTCCTGTGGAAGGTTGAAAGATGAGCCTGCTGCAGTCAAAACCTTTGTTTCCTGTAGGGATAAGTAATTAACTGTGGTTCTATTCTAGGTCCTGTCACATAATGTGATGGTCAATTTCACGTATCAACTTGACTAGGCTGAGAGATGCCCACATAGGTGATAAGACATTATTTCTGGGTGCACCTGCAATGGTGTTTTCAGAAAAGATTAGCATCTGGATTAGTAAAGAGGATAATCCTTACCAAAGTGGGCAGGCATTATCCAAAGGAAGGGTGAATTTTTTTCTGTTTGACTGGGACATCCATCTTACCTGGGATTTCTAGGCTCCTGGTTCTATACCATACAATTTTTCTGGGACTTAAGCTGTAGCCCCTCCACCTACCCAGACCTTCAGACCTGACAGAATTACACTACTGATTTCCTTGCTTGTCTAGATTGCAGAGATCATGGGCTTTTCCTTCTCCATAAATATGTGAGGCAATTTCTGTCTTAAAAAATGTTTGTCTATGTACATATACTACACACACACACACACACACACACACACACATATTCTCTGTATACATGTATATTCTGTTTCTGTGGAGAACCCTATTATATATAGCAAATAAATGAACTCAAATGATGGCTCTAGTGAACGAATCCGTTTATTAAATGAAATACAATACAAAAATATTAGGACATATCCATTTACCTGAGTGTTTTTTCAATTTGGAATGAACTGGATGCAGGTTTGGAGGTAAGCTATCTTCTCTCCTGGTCAATGTCCCTGTTCATCATGGGTATTTTAAGGGCCTCCACAGGGAAAACTATCTGTTTGCCTGTGTGTTTTGCCCAGGTCATGCACTGGAACGTATCTGGGAGGCTTTTAAAGCTGTGTGAAGAGTGGGAGACAGTGCTGCTGTGGGGATGCCCATCACYGTTGGCGTGGTGGTGTGTCGGTGCTCATGTATTCATCGTGTGGCCTCCCCTAGGGGATATTAAGTGCAGGAAGGGTCCTAGTCAAGTCTTTGTAAGTTGGAAGTGACCTGTAGACGTTTTCTGCACATCCTTCTCCGACATGGTGTACACCTCTTTAAAAAAGCTCAGTTCTTCCTGTCTGGCCCTGGGATAGCAGCTTGAAGAATGACCACGCTAGAGCTGGGTTCAGGCTGCCTGGCTCTGGGACAGGGTGCTGGGTGATCACAGACACCCCCCCTCTCTCCCCTGAACCCTGGAAGTGCAGGCTGCACAGCCTCCCCAGCTGCTAGTCCCCGTTCTCTGCCCCACCCTCTTTGTCTCTTCCCCATGTGCAGCCTGAGACCACAGGGCCGTCCCCTGGGTCAGAGTGTTCCTACTTCCTCCCTGCAGGCTGCACCCTGTAGCTAGTGTCCAGGGAGGGCTGCTCAGGCCTCCTTCCTGCTCGCCAGCATTACTAGGACAGTGGTCCAGTTGTGGCTTTTTTTTTTAGGTTGTTGATGGATCTTTATTTTATTTATTTACTTATATGTAGTACTGAGCATTGAACCCCGTGCCTCACACATGCTAGGCAAGTGCTCTACCACTGAGCTACAACCACAGCCTCMGTTGTGGCCTTTGATCTACTCGTGGTCTGTAGTCCAGGGTTTCTCAACCAGGGCACAACTGCCACTGGGAACCACATTAATTCTTTGTTCTGGGTACCGCGCTGTGCATTGCCGGGGGTGGGGGGGTGGGGGTGGGGGTGGGGGGGTGTTTAGCAGCACACCTGATCTTGAGAGGCCAGTAGCACTTCTCAGTCTGTGAGCATTGCCAAATCCCCCGAGGGGATAATCGCCTCCTGTTACAGAGCAGTGATGTGGATGGAGAATGCCTTTTTTAATAAAGAAAAATAATTTTAAAATTTGGAATTCCACTTATGCAGTCAATCTGGGGTGTTTTTGACTTTACTTGTATTTTAATTAGTAATATATGTTGGTGTGTCCTGGGTCAGGTGGTAAATGTATTTCCTTAAAAAATTTTTATTTGATATAGTCTCAGACTTTGGGAAGATATGAAAAAAAAAAAAGCACAAAGAACCCTATGTACCCCAACTGTTCACTGTGTCCCCTCTCCTTCCCCACCCTTTTCTCTCTGACCCTCCCCAGAATGCTGGGCAGGAGCACAGGACACTCTTGACTACACCGTGTTCTTTGTCTAAGATGCCAGCACCTGATAGTAGACCCAGACCTATAAAAGACAGGGCTTTGCAACCATCCCCACTGCATGTCTCCCCAGGGGACATTTCTCATGCCATACAGGGGTGGAATTTATGACAATTCATGTCACACCTTCCTTTCTGGAAAACTTTGAAAATTCTTGGTACAAATCCCTAAGGCCAAGGGTGCCTTTATTTTGCTTTTTCATTATTGCTTCCTATTACTCCATCAGATCTTTATTTCTTCCACACATTTTGTTGTGTTTGACCCACTTGGTTGCAATAGTCACATGTAGGCAAGAAAAAATGACCCCCTATTTTAGGAATCATTTGTACTGATTTATAAGTCTTATTTCTTAGTTCTGATTTGTGTAAATTTTTGAATTCCTTTTTGTTTTTGTGTTTGGACTAATGCTCAGTCAATGAAGGTGATGAGTTTAGAGAAGCAACTGTCAGCTTAACCACTATGTTGGTAGATGTTCCAGTAGATCCTTCTTTCTTTGTTTTTCAAGTTGCATGGTTTATTATTTCTTTTATGCTTTGATTTGCTTTGTTGAATTCTATACTGATTTGCAGTACAATGTTACAGTTTCTCATCTAACTTAAACACATTTTTTTACTGAATCATCAGGAGCAAGGCTAGGATGGGAATGCAGGGASCTGGACAGCTGAGGTCTGGCCCTGGCCTAGCTGTGTCCTGTGTGGAGTCCTCTAGGGTCCCCTATGGATCCGTTCCTATCTCCCTTTGAAAACAGGAAAAGTGTCTGCTCCTTGGAAAACATAATCTTCCACCCAAGCTCATACCCCAGCCATGACCAATGCATTTGTGTCTGCTCAGTGTGAGAGTCTGCAGACTGGTAGTACTGGTGGCACCTCAGTGTCCCCATTTCTAGTTCTTGGATTTTCTTGCACAAACAGGGCCAAAATACAAATTGGCTAATGGGTATATCCTTAGTCAGGTGACCACAGTTCTGGGTCCCTCAAATTCCCTAAAAGAAAATCCTTTAAAGGAAGACCACATGTTCTGTCGCCCCTGTCCTTATATGGTTCCCACCAAATGACACTCTTCCTATTGACTTGAAACTGGGGAAGCATCGGCACCCCAGGGTGGAGGCTGGTGCTTATGAGTACACATGTGGGGATCCTTGGGGACTTTATTATGGCTCTTTGGATGGTTGGGATCTTGCTTTCAGCCATCATCCTCTCTCCTCTTGAGTATCTCCAGCGTTCTGTGTGTGAGCTGGGGTTGTACACTGATTTTCACGCTTATTCAGTGTCTCCTCCACATGAGCTTTGGTGTCAGGCCCAGTGGACATGTATGGAGGCCCCATCCTGGGACTGAGTGCAGCAGGGAACAGCAGGCACCTGACTAAGAGTTGCCAGTGGTGCCACTTGGGTGCTGAGGATCACAGCCTGCACATCACTTCAGAGAAACTCAGGGGTTTCCCCAGGTTCACGTTGACACCAATAAAACCTTCTTTGGTGCTGATCTGGGAATTTGAGACATTAGTATAGCAGGTTTCTCAGCCAGTGAGCTCTTGTTTTCCCACTCTTCATGTAGTAAAGCACTTTCTCAGCTACTTCCTCAACAATTCTGGTTTTCTGGTCTCTGCTGAGAGGCCTTGGGAATTGTCCAGGATGTGGCAGGACTATGGGAAGGAAGTGCTGGAGGGGTGGGGACCAGAGGTCTTGTGAGCCTGGCTTGTTGGCTAGAGCACCCTGCATCTTCTTGAACATGATCAGCAGTCACTCTCCTGGAGGGAAGGCACATGATATAAACAGGGAAGAGATGGCCTGGGTCGTGGAAGTGTTGGAGATGAGCTAGTTTGGGGCTTAGTAGGCTTGGGATCAGGTACCTGGTAGAAACATTTGGACTTTCTAGTCTCAGGAGATAGATTAGATCTTTGCCCAGCAATTCTTTGTGGCTCTTCCCTGTGTCTCAGTTCATCCAGAATTTTCTTGTGAATAACTCAGTGTGGTCTTCAGTCTTTTCCAACAGACAGTGCACTGTTCTCTGCCCCTTTGTCCTGGTAAAATTTTTCTCTGTATGAAATTCAGGTATGGGCAGTTTTTAGTGCCTAAAGGACAATGTTTGTGCAAACTGGGAGTGACAAGGCCTCCGTAGGGGCACAGGAAGGGAGTGGAGCAGAGAGCACAGAACTGGAAAGGCAAGAGCCAGGCTCTCTCCAGCCCCTCCCACTTTCTAGCTGTGTGAGCATGAGGAAGTTCCCTAAACCCTCTCCCTGCACATCAGGTTCCCTCCTGATAGATGGTGATACATGATCAATCTTGCTGGGTTGTTGAGTGGGTTTTCTAAGCTGCATTGCAATTTCTAGTGCATATAATGCATTTTGCATTGCATACTCTCTTCAATCACTGCAAATTGAAGAATGTCCCTGAAGGGTGTCCTTCCAGACCCCAGAAACTGTGGTGACTGTGCGCTGCTCAGCACTGGAGCTCTCCTGGCAGGGCTGCTCCTGCACTGGGGCTGCTCCAGCCCAGTGGGACAGCAGCCCTGAGCTCCTGCTTCCTCTTGCCACTCACAGGGCCTGAAGAAGATCTCTGCCTACATGAGGTCCAGCCGCTTCCTCCCAACACCTCTGTATTCCAAGATGGCCACATGGGGCAACAAGTAAGAGGCTTTAACACCCAGACTGAGAGGAAGGAGTCCTTGGCCCTGCTGGCCCCGGGTTCCTCACATAGCTGGCTCTCTGGACCCAGGCACCAGTCTTCTCAGTCCTTGCTCCTCTTTCCACTCCCTCCTCCTCTGCAAGGCCTCCTTGGCTCCCTTTCTTCCACTCAATCCCTCCTCCTTTGGAACCTCTGCCTGCTTCATTTCTCAGTCTTCTTCAGCAATGTCCCTTCCCTCTTGCTTCTCTGTGTAATTCAACCATGAATCCTTGGCTCTGATTTGCAGAGCTGACTGCACCCCTGCTCCKGAGARCTGTCTGAAAATCCAGTATTCCCTTGTGTGCAGCTCAGACCCCAGAGCGGCAGCTGATCCCAATAAAGGCTGAAACACACCTGCTGGCGTTACCTTGTTCTAAGTTTTCCTCCCTGGACTTGCCAAGTGTCACTACCACTCCTATAAAGGAACACCTGTGGAGGAATACCTGCGAGGAGGTGCACAAAAGAACAGACACAGACACAGAAAGTGCAAGCAGACAGACAGGAGGAGCAGAGAGGAGTGAAGTGAATGGTGAAGAAGAAGTTCAGAAGTAAAGTGTCCGCTCCTCCCTGCCTGGGAGTTTATTACCATGTTGATATTCTGATTTGTCTTACTGTACCCTAAGTCCTAGCTAACCGAGATCAGGTTCAGGTTAGAGGTAACATGGGGCTCCTACCTACCAAGGGCATAACCATGGAAACCAGATACTGCCCGCATGGTTGTCTCATTACCTCAGGGGGAAACGGCCGGGCATTCCAATCGTGGGAATCAGGGCACCAGTTACCCTCGTGAGTTTGCTCACCGGGGAACGCTCCCTGTCTACTTACCCACTTCCATGGCATTTGACACTGGAAATGGCAGGAGGCTTCACAAGGATTCTGACAGGATGAACAGGATTTGACAACCTGGTTCCATTTTTGATATCCTTAGAGCAGGTCTCCAGGAGGCTTTTTAGTGAATTTGTGGACACTGATTKTCCCTTTCCTTAGAGTTCCGTCTCCTGTTCTCTGGCCCTGCCAAAAAGACACTTGCTCAGTGCTTGTCCCTGTTCCTTTGAGCGCCCTGCCACACAGCCTTTCCTTGTGCCCAGTGAAAACTCAACCCCACTTGCTCAGCTTTTGTCTAATTGCATCGGCTCCCTGCACTGGCCACCTTTCCTTGCTACTTCCAAGGGAATGACTGATGTCCCTGGCACTTGCTGGGTTTCTGAGATTCTGGTGGAGTCTGAGACTTCCTGGTCCCATTTCTGACACCCTCAGAGCAGGCAGCCTAGGAGGCTGTCTAGAGAACAAAGGACCCCTTTATGCATGCAATCTTGCTTCCTCTTGTGGTCATGGAATCCTTCCACAGGACAATAGGGCTGTGGCTCACAGTGAGCAGGGACAGGGTAGTGGGTCCCCAGCAGGGAGACCAGGACCCTTCTTGCCATCCATATGAAATGGCTGGTGCCCATCTCTTAAGTGTCCAGCATCCTGGCTCTACTCAGTTTTCTAGATGACTTCAAGGTGTCCTCCTGGGCTTCCTCCACACCTGGCATGGGATCATCTTTCTTGGTTAGTCCCTCTTAGCCTACAAGCTTGGTATATTGATCTCTGTGCTCACTCTTTGTTACTTGTTACTGTCTGTTTTTCATGAAGAATCGCTGTGGATGACTCTCCGTGTCAGTGAATCTCCCTGTGTTCAGCTCAGTTGACCATCTCAACCTGTGACTCAGGCAATTCCTGGAAAACAKGTCAAGGCTGAGCTTGTGGCAGACCCAGCCTTTGTTTGCCTCAGGATATTGTAAATTCCATCACCTCACGTGGTGCTGGTTTCTTGGGGTCCAAGGAGCTGTGCTGAGGGCTGCCCTGAGAACTAGTAAAACGTTTTGTTTGGGGTGTCTGCCACCATGTTTCCAGAAGAAATGGGCATCTTGAGTCAGGAGATTGAGTACAGAAGACACTTCTCAGTATTGGAGGAGGCCATCCAAACAGAGAAGACCCTGGATGGAAGAAATAGTGAGAGGACGTGTGACTTCGCCATCGTCATGCCTATGACATCCCTCATCTGCTCTGGGCCATCTGTGCTCCTTGTTCTTTGGATTTTAGACTTGAACTGGGATGTACCCCAGCACCTGCCTCCAGTCACCCCTGCACTCAGGTCTGTAGCCTGGGACTGAATACACCACAGGCTTCCTGTCTTCGTCTGCTGGTAGAGGGCAGATCATGGGATCCATTCACCTCCATGACTGCATGAGCCAATTCCCATAATAAATAAGGCATGCATGCATACCACATGAAACAATATGTCTATACCTTTTATTGATTCCGTTTCTAACCTGAGTCGTACACACACAGCAAACAAATACACACATTTGTCACAAACATCAGTGACCAGTTTGGTATAGTCACACATTGCCCCAAACACTAGAGCATGCTCATTTACTTGGGGGCTTTTCCTATTTGTCATGGACTCCCAGAGGTGTCTGAGAGCTCAGCACTCAGGGGGCTTGGAGGGAAGGTATCTCCTTGTGGAGGTAAGGTACATACCTTTCTCCTGGTAATGCTACAGACAGCTGGGTTCTTGTCCCCAACACCAACCCAAAAATGAGGAMAAGGGTTTGAGAAAAAGGAAAAATAAATTTTCTTGCTTTGCTGGCCCAGGAGAAACTCCAGGGACCCTTGTCCCAGGTGCATCAGGGGAACAGAGGACTTTAAAGGTGATCCAAAGGCTACCTTCCAGGGGTGCCCCATCAGGGGTCGTGATTCAGCTGTAGCCTTGAAAGATGGCTGATTCTTGGTTCTTGTGGTGCCACTCCTCTATGGTGGACATACTTCATCCTTGTGGTGTGTGTGTTACAGACAAGTGACTTGGCCTAGGTGTGGAAGAAGGGTAATATGGTTTCTCAAGGTTAGGAAGGGGGAGAAGGAGATAAGAAAGGAAAAAAACCCAGAAAGTCCACATCAGGGTCACATTCATAGCACAAAGTGGCCCCTGTTACAATAAATGTTCCCATTCATCACCGGGATTTCAAGGGCATTAAGAGGAAAATCATCTGTCTCTGGTCAGATGATTGCGTTGGGGACAAGAACCCAGGTCTTTGTCGGTTCTTAAGGAGGGGGAACATGGGAAAGGACCTGCTGGCTAGGTGACTTCCAACCTGGATTTCCATGGCTGTGAATGTCATGAGAAGCTTATATATTCAAGATTTRGTGTCCCCTGCTCTGGTATTAATTGCAGGGAGGGTCTCAGTTATGCCATTGAGAATTGGAAGTGACTGGCAGGAGCTTTCTGCACATCCTTCTCAGACATGGTGGACATGTCTTRAAAAGRGCWGAGTTYTTCCTGTCTGGCCCTGGGCCAGCAGCTCTGGAGGAATGACCACTGTGGAGCTGGGTTCAGGCTGCCTGGCTCTGGGACAGGGTGCTGGGTGATTACCAGACACCCGTCTCTACCCTGAACCCTGGAAGTGCAGCTGCCCAGCCTCTCCAGCCAGGAGTCCCAGTTCTCTGCCCCGCCCCCCTCCTTGTCTCTGGCCTGATGTGCARCCTGAGGCCACAGGGCTGTCCCTGGGTCAGATTGTTCCTACTTCCTCCCTGCAGGCAGCACCCTGTAGCTGGTGTCCAGGGAGGGCCACTCAGGCCTCCTTCCTGCTCGCCAGCATTTCTAGGGCAGTGTTCCAGTTGTGGCTTTTGATCCATGGTTTCTCGAGCTGGGCACAACTGCCAGTGTGGACCACAAAAATCTTGGTCACAGGCTCCATGCTGTGTATTTCAGAGTATTAAGCAGCACACCTGAACTTGAGAGGCCAGTGGCACTTCTCAGTTGGGACAATTCAAGAAGTCTGTGAGCCTTGCTGAATGCCCTGAGGGAATAATTACCTCCTGCTTTAGAGCAGTGATGTGGTGGATGGAGAATGCCTTTTTTGATTAAAGGAAAAAAGACTTTTTAAAATTCAGAATTTCACTTATACAGTCAATATGGGCTGTTTTTGACCTTACTTTTATTTCAATTAGTAATATATGTTTGTGCGTCTTGGATCAGGTGGTAAATGTATTTCTTTAGAAAAATTTATTTTGATGTAGTTTCAGACTTTGAGAAAATGTGTAAAAAGAGCACAAAGAACTCTATGTACCCCAGCTGTTCACTGTGTCCCCTCTCCCTCCTCCCCACCCTCTTCTCTCTGACCCTCCCCAGAATGCTGGGCAGGAGCCCAGGACACTCTTGACTACACCATGTTCTTTGTCTAAGATACCAGCACCTGATAGTGGACCCAGACCAGTGAGGGACAGGGCTTTGCAACCACCCGCACTGTGCCGTCTCCCCAGGCAGGTCTCTCATGCTATACAAGGATGGAGTTTATGACAGTTCACGTCACACCTTCCTTTTTGGAAAGCTTTGAAAATTCTTGGTGTGATTTTCTAAGGCCAAGTATACCTTTATTTTGATTCTTCTTTATTATGTGTTATTACTTCATCAGATCTTTATTTATTAAACACATTTTATTATTTTTGTGTTTGACCCACTTGATCATAACCGTCACACATAGGCAAGAAAAATGACCCTGTATTTTAGATATCATTTGTATTGATTTATAAGTCTTCTTTCTTAGTTCTGATTTGTATTAACCTGTAATTTCCTTTTTGTTTTTTTTGTTTGGACTAATGCTCAATCAATGAAGGTGGTGAGTTTAGAGAAGCAGCTATCAGTTTAACCACTTTGTCAGTGAAAGTTTCAGTAGATTTTTCTTTCAAGTTGCATAGTTTTATTATTTCTTTGATGCTTCTATTTACTTAGGTGAATTCTGTACTGGTTTGCATTACCATGTGGTATGACTCTCAAAGCCAGGAGATCCTGGAACAACATATACCAAGCTCTAAAAGATAATGGCTGCCAACTGAGAATCTTAGGTCCAGCAAAATTAAGCTTCAAATTTGATGAGGAAATAAAAACCTTCCATAATAAACAAAAGCTAAAAGAATTTGTAGCAAGAAAGCCTGCACTACAGAACACTCTTGGCAAAATATTCCACATGTAGGAAATGTAAAACAACAATGAAAGTCTGCAAAGGGAAGAACTCCAATAAAAGGAGAAACCAAGTCAAGCTAAATACCAAAAATAAACAAAAATGATCGGTAATACAAATCATATCTCAATAATAACCCTAAATGTTAATGGCTTAATCTCACCTATCAAAAGACATTGGCTGGTAGATTGAACTTAAAAAAAGACCCAACAATATGCTACCTTTAAGAGACTCATCTCATAGGAAAAGATACCCACAGACTGAAGGTGAAAGGTTGGAATAAAATATACCATTCACATGGTCTGTGTGAGTAAGCAGGGGTTTCCATCCTCATATCAAATAAAGTAGACTTCAAGCCAAAGTTAATCAAAAGGAATAAAAAAGGACATTCATACTGCTTAAGGGAAATATAGGTCAATAAGACATAAGAGTTATAAATATATGTGCCCCAAACAATGGAGCATCTACATTCATCAATCGTTCTCTTCTCAAGTTCAAGAGTCAAATAGATCACAACACAATAATTCTGGGTGGCATTAACACACCTCTTTTACCACTAGATAGATCTTCTAAAAGCTAAACAAAGAAACTATAGAACTTAATAATACAATCAATAACTTAGACTTAACTAACATATTAAGTATTATCCATTACACTTTCTTCTCAGAAACACATGGATCCTTCTCTAAAATAGACCATTTGTTATGCCACAAAGCAAATCTTAATAAATACAAAAAAGTGGAGATCCTACCCTGCATTATATCAGACCACAATGGAATTAATTTAGAAATCAATGATAAAATAAAAGAATAAAAGCTACTCCAACACCTGGGGACTAAGTAATATGCTATTGAATGAACAGTGGGTTGCAGAAGATATCGAGGAGGATATTAAAAAATTCTTAGAGGTAAATGAGAACACTAATACAACATATTGAAATCTCTGGGACACTATGAAGGCAATTCTAAGAGGAAAATTCATTGCATGGAGTTCATTTCTTCAAAGAAGAAAAAGTAAACAAATAAATGACCTAAAATTACCTCTCAAAGCCCAAGAAAGAGAAGAATAAATCAACCCCCAAAACAGTAGGAGACAGGAAATAATTAAAATCAGAGCTGAAATCAATGAAACTGAAACAAAAGAAACAATGAAAAAAACTGACAAAACAAAAAGTTGGTTCTTTGAAAAAATAAATAAAATTGATAAACATTAGCCATGCTAACAAAGAGAAGGAAGAGAGAAAACTCAAATTACTAACATCCGTGATGAAAAAGGAAATAACTCATGATGGACACTACAGAAATTATTTCTTTCTAGAATATTTTAAAACCATATTCCTTCAACTTGTTTTTATTGGATTTTGGGTCATTTTAATCCAGAAAATATATTTTTATTTTTCTGATAACTTTTTTTTCCCTCAGATTTAGTAGCTTTTGCTCACTTAAAAAAAGAAATTTTATTTTAGCAAGGTTTCATTCTCTACTTTAGGAAGCTGCTGTTTATTTTTTTCCCCCAAACCAAATTTTCATTGTTGGCAGTTAATTACCATTTTTTTTAGGACTTAGAAGATGGTTGATACCAGCAATCAGAAAACCTTCAATTTCATATTTCTCACAAAATATTTCTTTAAATTTTTTTAAAATTTGATCCTTTTAGTTATACATGACAGTGGAATGTA